CACAAAGAGTTACTATATTGAAAACTCACGGGAGTTTCTCCATCAGTTCTACCCTGTCCTATGGGGTCTCTAAATCAGCATTGACCGAATGACAATGGTATTGAGTTTATGATCATCAAAATCAGGTTCTCACCATCAGCACAACATTGTCCCTGAACTACAAACCTTGTTGAACCCCAAGCCCCCCTTTCTGTCTCTCTAGTCTGAGCTCCAGCCAGGATTTCCCCAAGTCTTCAGATGGAGGATTTTCTCGGGGTTCCCCAATCTGCATCTGAAGAGCCAGTGTGCCACTACTTGACACACCCCTGGACAGCTAAAATAATTCTTTAAGAGACCATTACAAGTGTATGCAAGGATGTGGAGCAAATGGAGCCCTCATCCATGCTTAATTCGAATGAAAAATATTGCCAACACTGTGGAAAAGTTTGGCATTTCATTGATAAGTTAAGCAAAGGATGACCACGTGACTCTGCAGTCCACTCCTAAGTTTGAACCCCCTCCTCCCAGTTTAAACAGTCCAAATGAAAACATGTACACAATGTATTTGTCCAGAGTATTTGCAACTGCTAAAGGTACATGCCACCTGAATGTCCATCCATTTGGATCTCCACACAGTGAAATGGTGTCCAGAATGAAGTTCTGATACATGCCATGACATGGACAAGCCTGGAGAACCTGCTAAGTGAGAGAAGCTAGATACGAAAAGCCGTAAGTGGAACTGTCCCATTTATAGGAAGTGTTGACAGATAGATCTGTAGCAGATTCATGGTTGCCAGGGCGAGCAGGTAGGGATGAATGGTGCAGGGTTCCTTTGGGGAATGATGAAAATCATTTGGAACTAAATAGTGGTGAGCTTTGCAGAACGTTGTGAATGCACTGCATGCCACTGAATTCTAGACTTAATGGTAAATGTTGGATGATCTGTCATTCGCCACAGTAAAAATAGCAATTATTGAGGTGGGAAAGAATTCTTGACAATTGTAAAGATTTTCTTTTTCTTTTATTGGGGGCTCATACAGCTCTTATCACAATACATACATACACTGTGTCAAGCAATGTAAGTACATTTATGGCCATCATCATTTTCAAAACATTTTCTTTCTGCTGAAGTCTTTAGTATCAGCTCCTCCTTTTCCCCCACCCTCCTTCCCTCGCAAACCCTTGATAATTTATAAATTATTGTTATTTTTTCATGTCTTACACTGACAGATGTCTCCCTTCACCCACTTTTCTGTTGTCCGTCCCCCGGGGAGGGGCTTATATGTAGATCATTGTGATCGGTTCTCTTTTTCTCCCCCACTTTCTCCTTCCCCCCTTTTGGTATGGCTACTCTCAATATTGGTCCCAAGGGGTTTATCTGTCCTGGACTCCCTGTGTTTCCAGCTCTTGTCTGTACCCATCCGTGTACATGCTCGGATCTAGCCGGATTTGTAAGGTGCGTCTGGGGTCTTAAAGGCTTGAAGATAAACAAGTGCCCATCTAGTTCAGAAGGAGCAAAGCCCACATGGAAGAAGTACACCAGCCTGTGTGACCACGAGCTGTCGAAGGGATCAGGTATCAAGCATCAAAGAATAAAATATCATATCATTGTAAAAGAGGGTGAGTGCAGAGTGGAGACTCAAAGCCCATCGGTAGGCAATTGGACACCCCCTTACTGAAGGGTTGTGGGGAGGAGATGAGCCAGTCAGGGTGCAGGGTAGCAACGATGAAACATATAACTTTCCTCTAGTTCTTAAATGCTTCCACCCCCCCCACTATCATGATCCCAATTCTACCTTACAAATCTGGCTAGACCAGAGGATGTACATTAGTACAGATAGGAATCCAGGTACATTGGTACACAGGGAATCCAGGATAGATGACTCCTTCAGGACCAGTGGTGAGAGTGGTGATGCCTGGAGGGGGAAGGGAATGCGGGGTAGAAAGGGGGAACCGATTATAAGAATCTACGTATAGCCTCCTCCCTGGGGGATGGACAGCAGAGAATAGGGTGGGAGGAGACGTCAGACAGTGTAACATATGATGAAATAATAATAATTTATTAATTATGAAGGGTTCATGAGGGAGGAGGGAGGGAGGAGGGAGGGGAAAAATGAGGAGCCGATATTAAGGGCTCAAGTAGAAAGCAAATGTTTTGAGAATGATGATGGCAACAAATGTACATATGTGCTTGACACAATGGATGTATGTATGGATTGTGATAAGAATTGTATGAGCCCCCAACAAAATGATTTAACTATAATTTAAAAAAAAGAAAAGAAAAAAATAAAGAACACCAAGCAGCTCCTTGGGAGAAAGGCTGGGCTTCCTACTCCTGTAAATATTTGCAATCTTGGAAACCACAGCGGGTCGCTATGAGTTAGTATCGACTCAAATGCAGTGAGTTTGGTTTTTGGTAAAGCAAAGCTAGGGTCATGGGTGGTTCCATGGTAGAACGCTCACCTTCCATGCAGGAGCCTCAAGTTCAAGTCCAGCCAACGTACCTCATGAGCAGCAACCATTACCTATCGTCCTTCCGCTGCTGAACAGGTTTCAGTGGAACTTCCAGACTAAGACGGACAAGGAAGGGAGGCCTGGCTGTCCACGAATGCGTATCAAACCGTGCAATGGTCTGATTTGAAATTGAGATAGCGATGGTGCAGAGCCAGGCTATGTTTTGTTCTGTTGTGTGGAGCGAACTCAATGACAACAGCAGAAACCAAAGCCCCGCTGCCTTCAGCCCAAGCTTCTGCTCATGAGCCCCCAGAGGCTTTGACTAGACGAGCAAGCTAGGCCCAAAGCTTGACCCTCAGCGTTTTTCGGAATGTATTTCCCACCTAGCTTTTCTGGCATCAGGCACCTGGTACCTCGACACCTTCAACACCAGCCCGTTCTAGCTATGGGTTACTCTATGCATGAGTAAAGTCATGCAATCAGTTTCCCAACCAGTGTTTTAAAGAACAACTACAAAAAGGAAAAAAGAATGTACAAGCATAGGAATTATCAAGTAATGGCAACTATTTTTTTAGGACCTGTGTGTATAATCTTTTTAAAAACCATATACAGTCACACACATACCTACACACTGATTTTGGCTGAAATTTATCTCTTAGTGTGGGTGAAGAACAAAAGAGTTTGTAAAGCCATTGCCCACTGCACAGCCACCCGAGGCTATCAGCCAGCCCCATACTTGCTTTGTTGTGTCTTTTACCCCGCTGTTCCCTCAGCGAGTCAGTCTCTTTGCTCTGGGCCTACTGAAATCCTCCTCGCCTCTAAGAAAGCCCACCTCCTCCTGGATGTTTGCCCACTTTCCCTCGACTCTGGAAGGATAGATAGTTCCACACCTTTCTTGTACCATTCAAAACAGTCTGCCTTGTGTTATAGTTCTGCCTGTAACCGACTTAAAGAGTCCCTGACAGGCAGGGCTGGGCCTGACCCACCCATAGGGCTCTCAGAGGCCCAGACGTGTCGAGAACATAGCTGGTGCTCCCTAAATGTTTTCCTGACTGAGTATCCTCTGTCTGCTTGTGGGGTTCTTCCCGCTTCTATTTTCTGGACCAATGGCCTCAACAGGTTTATGTGTGCCCTGGGACCAGTATTATCTACTCTGGAAAAAAAAAATTCTGTCCTGAAAGTTTTCATGTTTCTTCAGGAAGAGTAAGAAATGCATTCATTCACCTTAAAGGTCTCTCCTTTATTCTGATTGTGTTGCAGTAGCCTAGCTTAACATGAATAACTCCATGTTGTTTTAAACTGCCTTTAACCCCTGCTAGCAGTTAGCCCCCTTCTCCTCTTCCCTCTCCTGTCTCTCCCAATATGCACACCATCTTGGAAGACCTTGAATTAGCACCAGCGGCTGTGCTATCATCTCTAACCCTGTTACCCTGACAACCGGATAAGACTAGAGGCTGGAATATTCCTTCCTTTGAGCCAGCCCTCTATCTTGAACAATAAAAAGTTTGGAATTCTTTGCCCTGGAGGGGGAGGTTTCTAGGTGCTCACCTACCCTTGGTCCTGCAGTTTAATAAAGGCTTTAATTATTAATGTAGTGGGGTGGTAGAGCTCGCCCATTTTAAACAGTGTCTCCCCCTTGTTTGGGGTGTTGCGTTATTATGATCTATCTTGCAGGGCTGATGTCGTTAGTTGTCATCAAGGTTGCTCTGCTTCACAGAGACCTGATGTACAACAGAATGACGGCCCTGTGCCATCACCATGGTGACCGTCGATCCTTCTCATCAAGCGTGACGCTGATAAATTAAAAGGTAAGTGTGTGAGCGTGTATCTGGGAAAATAAAGAGTACTGTTCGTCCTCAAAAAACAAAAGATTTTATTAGTTGCAAATTTCAAACGCTTGAGCTTCGTTGTTCTTTCTGGGACAGGGTGAAGGTTAAATACCGTTTCGAGAAGGAGACAACGGCGGCATTACACACTGGGGCGGGGGTGCTAACTGCTCTGCCGGCAAAGCCGGGACTGTCTACTCTCCTGAAGCGTAGACAGCTCCCCAAGATGTTAATCACCCAAACCCGAGGGTACGCGGGAGCGCGTCTCTGGCCCTTTAAATGGGGGCGTGGCGTAGAGGCGCGGACCGCCCCGAGCGAGCGGCTGAGCGCGTCAAAGCGGAAGCGTGGCCGCTACGGGCAGGAACTGCGCGTGCGCGTGGCCACAGCTGGGGCGGGGCCACGTGGGGCGGGGGTCCTGGGCTAGAATGGCGGCAAACTCAGGTAACGAGTCTCCTGGAGCGGGCCACCTGGGGAGGTGACTGGGGCCGAGGGCCAAACCGGGGCCGGAGGAGCGCGCGCGCGCCCGGCCGCCCCCGGAGCTCCCCCGGGCGACAGCAGTGCGGCCTCATGGATGGACCTGGGCCCCCGGGCGGGGCCGTCTCCGCGGGTGGAGGGGCGTGTCCGCCTGGCCCCGGAACTTGATTCCAAATGGAGAGGAGGCCCGAGGCCAGGTGCGCCCCCGCCTGTCCTGTCCCGTGTGGGACAGGTGTGCGCCTGCCTGCCAGCCTGGGGAACAGATGGAGGCGTCTCCATCCGGGCCCCGAGATGAGTGTGCTGCTTGAGGGGGCCAAGGCCTACTTGGGGTGCCCACCTCTCAGAATTCGCTGGCTCCTCTGGTAAGAGTGTGGGCCGCAGGGTGACAGGGAGCCCCCTGAAATTCAAGGCCAATCAGTGTCCATCGCGTGGTCCGTGGGGACAGAGAAACAGTTGTCCACAGTGAATGGTGTGTAAGATGGGCATGCTTCCAAGAGGGCAGGTTGGGGTGAGGTAAGCCGCGTGGTGATGGGCTCTTCTGCTCCTTACGCCTCCTCCATCCCTCCGTTAATTTCCTCAGAGTCAGAAGAGACCCGTGGAGCTCTTTACATGAACCACAGAATGAACGTTCCCTGATCATGTACCATTGGTCTACTCCAGCCCAGTGTGGCAGCCACTGCATTTGAACTGCCTCCCAACCTGGGGGCCCCTGGTCCAGCACCAACACCGGCAGTATTCTGTTGCGATCGGCAGGGTTTTTGTTGGTGCATTTTCAGAAGTAGATTGATAGGCCTTTCATCCTGACAGGGCCTTCTCAGCCTCTTAGCATGGAAGCTTCACTGAAACCCGTCCACTTTACCGACAGTATCGGTTTCTGCATCATAGCCACCCACAAACCATCCCACCATGGCCAAATGACAGCAGGTGGCAGCTCCAACCCCTGTGCTCCCCAAGCTGGTATGATGGACAGGAAGGCTTCTATCTCTCCTTACTGCCCACCCTTACCAGCCAACCGCCCTCCTCAAAAACAGACTGGCAAGATAAGCACAAACTAGCAGGTTTGTGGGGCCCATTCTGTACCAGATGTCTAAGTTTAGAGGGGTGATTAAAAAACAGAACTTTTTATTATGGTTTGGGTGTAAGTTTATCGAATAAATGAGTTTTCCATGCAATAGTCTATACACATTTTGAATCATGACATTGATTGTAGCTCCCACACTGTTTCCATTTCTCTCCTCTATTTACTGTTTCCATTCCACCTTCCTTCTTACTCCTTCCTGCCTTCTGAGCACAATCCCTGGGCAGATGTCACTGCTTTGAGCTTGTGTGGTTGATTGTGCTAAGACTGTCCCCTCCCTGGTGTTAATTTTCACCTTAAAGGCTTGCCTGCCATTTGTTGATAGTTTTAGTCAGAAGGGTGAGTTCAGTTCTAGACTTGAAGGGTGTCTAAGGGCCATTGTTTTGGGGGTTCTCCCAGTCTCTATCAGACCAGTAAGCTTGACCTTTTTGGGGGCTTGGAGTTTTTTCCTCTTGAGGAAGGAACCCTGATGGTACAGTGGTTATGTGTTGGGCTGCTACCCACTAGGTCAGCAGTTCAAAGCCGCCAGCCGCTCTTCAGGAGAAAGATGGGGCTTTCTGCTACCATAAAGAGCTATAGTCTCAGAAACCCACAAGGGCAGTTCTTGCCCTGTGTGGTTGCTGTGTACTGGGTTCCACTCGATGGTAGTGAGTTTGGTTTGGTTTTGGTGTTCTTTCCTCTGGATAGGGAGAGGCCAATAGGTGTACCTTGGACAACCACTCACAAGCTCTTAAGATCTCAGTCACTGCTCACCAAAGTGGAATGTACAATATTGTCTTTGTGGGCTATGTCATTCCAGTTGACCTCGGGGCTCCAGACTCTGGTTCTAAGCCCCCGCGTGGAAGGGTAATGCTGTGTCAGCTGTTTGGGTCTAGCTGGAAGCATATCTAATAGAAATGGAGGCAGGAGACCAGCAATGTTTATATCGGACTTGGATCTGCTCATCGTTAAGTTTAAGCAGAGAGTAGATATTGAATCTCTGGTAATAGTTAGTCTGCTCTGCAGAGTACAAAATAAAGATAAATGGGGGAAAATATTCTGTTGTACTGCTGGGCTTCATATGTGAGAGAATTCCTTCCAGAGCTCTACAGAGTAGTACAGTGATTATCCTTTATGTATTTCCTTTGTTGCTGGAGGGGAACATTAGTAGCAGATGGATCGTTTCTGTGTTCCAGGATATTGGGGTATCTTGGTAATGACGGAAATTCTTAGCTATATCCCCCATAACCATTACAGCTATTCCATAGAGCTGTATCACCATTGTGGTACCAAATGTCAATTAATGTATATGAACGATAAGTAAGGCCTTTTGAGTTTAATGAAGCATACTTAACTTTCAATCAGTTGATAGATTTCTCACTAAACTAAACTAACAAAGTTTAGTTATCATCTTCTCCAGGCCCACAGCTTCGGGTGTTAGCTGCACCCGTGTATGAGGGGGCTTCCAACCATTTGTGGGAAAATTCCATTATCCTTCCATTTCGTTTTTCCATCAGCTTTTTGAATTGCCCTTGTAAGATTAAACTGTTGCTATTTTTAATTGGGTTCCTGAGTTAATGGCTGGATTTTCTTCATCCTATCTAACATCATTAAGCTGCATGCCATGTCCTAGCACGGTGGTGGCAGTGTGTGTCCAGCCTAGAGGAGCCTAGGGTTTCCCAGGTGGACACCTTCATGGGAGTAGATCCCCAGGCCTTTGTCGCATGGAGCTGCTGGTGGGTTTCCATTGTCCCCTTTGGGTTAGCAGCCACATGTGTAACCACTGTACCACCAGGGCTCTTCTTTGGGAGCTTGACCTTTGCCACGTACCTACTCTTGTGGCTGAGGCAGTAGGGCACTGTGATTGGCAGCACCACCAGAATGTCTGGGGGGCATGGTGGAAGAACAGTTTTCCAAGGAAGGACTGTGCGGGTGCTCTGCCCTTCATACGGCGCGCGGCGGCATGTTCTTCCCTCATAAGCAGTGGAAGTTCATGACAGTCTACTTCTCTCTTCTTCCTCTTTTAGGATAGTGCTCAAATCATCTCTTCCTTTGAAGTCAGATCCTTGCTTCATTTGTGTTTTCTCCCCCTTCAATCTGGACTCTTGCAAAATTCTTTGAATAACAGTTCTTCTGTTGCTACTCCTCTCCTGTTATCTGTTCAAGCCCTCGGTGGGGAGAGTGTTCTCTTCCGATTGCTCTGTAGAAAGATGGGACTTTCTACCCCATACAGTTTCCGTCTCGGAAGCCCACAGGTGCAGTTCTACCCCGTCCCGTAGAGTCGCTCTGAGTCGCGAGCTTTTTGTGTGCTGTCAGGTCATGCACTTCCTTCCTGTGCAGCACAGGACACGCTTCCACACTGTGGGCCTTGTGTGTACGTAGTTCCTCAGTCTCTCACGTCTTCACTTCCTCCCCCTCTCCCAGCTTTGCTTTTCACGTTGTAGTAGTCCATAGTTCTTGCCCCCGTTCAACTTGCTCAACTATGTAGAGCAGTCTCACAGTGTGAGTCGACTGTGTCGTGCTTCAGAGCTCCAGGGAAGTCAGTCAGCCAGGAAAACAGAGCTCCCAGGGGTGAATGGCACGTGCTGTGTTTCCTCCTGTACATGCCCTGTTTTCCATGACGCCCAAATCATAAGTCCCTGAGATCCCTCTGGACTCTTTCTCCAAGGACAACCACGCTCACTGCCACTGAGTCCATTCTGACTCACAGCGACCCTGCAGGACAGAGTAGAACTGGCCCTGTGTGTTTCCCAGGCCGTGAATCTCTGTGGGAGCAGAAAGCTTTGTCTTTCTCACACAGAGACGCTGGTGGCCGTGAACTGCAGACCTTGTGCTTGGCAGCCCCACGCGTAATCCACTGTGCCACTAGGGCTCCCAGTGACATCCTGGGACGTTTAAAATTTTGTGGGAAAGTTCCGTTATCTGTGCATTCCATTTCTCTTGAACGTTCTGAAGTTCCTTTGCACATGTTGATATAAGATGAATGAATAATACAAAAGTTCATACCCACTGTAGATATTTTAGGAGCCCTAGTGGTGCTCCGTACCTGGTGGTCAGGTAAGTGTTGGACTGCTAACTGCGTAGTCAGCGGGTCAGACCCACCAGCTGCTCTGTGGGAGCAAGTTGAGGCTGTCTGCTCCTGTGAAGATCCACAGCCTCAGAAGTCCTTGGGAGGGTGGTTATAAAGGAGAAGTGACACGGCGGCAGTGGGTTTGGTTTGGGGACAGACATTTTCAGACTTCGTCCTTCTCATTATCTTGGACACTGTGCTAGAAGGGAGACTTCTTTTCTCCCTGGGGCCCGCCCTCGTGGGTCGTGTCTGAGTGCCTGACAGTTCACAGCTAGGGCTCGGGTGTTGTCTCTCCACCTTTTTGTGTTACCATTTGTTAGGCTTAGCCCTCTTCCCATACATACTGTCAGGCTTTAGGGAGAGAAACAGAGAGGCTTGGGGCTTTGGCTGTGTCCAATCTTGGAAAAAGCTGTGGACAGTTCATCCCCCGGCCCTGGGCAGAGCTGCATCTCATAGCAGGTCTGGCCGGAGGTCCGTGACTGAGGGGAAAGGGAGTCTTCCTGAAGCACCCTTGGGAGGGAGTCATGGTGGGAGACTGATGGCTGGTTTCTCGGGAAGTCCTCCACGCGGAGCTTTTCAGCCCAGGTGAATGGCCTGCTGGGGATGTTGTGTGAGGCAGGCAGAAGCCTAGATGCAAAGAATGAAACTTGGGAGGCAGGTGGGAGGCTTTTTGGCGTAGAACGTGACTAACCATGTCTTCTGCCGAATGACCAGAGCTGCTGTTTGAGGCTCCGGAAGTCAATGGAGCAGTGTGGTGTGGCTGCTGACTGAGGAAGGCCTGGGTAGAGATAGATGCCTGCATGGCCTGATTTCCTACTATGCAGTGAGGCACTGGGACTATAATGGTGGCCCCAGCAGATCTGGTCTGGGCTCTCGTGGAGATTTTATTTCCCGTTTGGTGTTGGGGAAGGTTCAGGCCTTGCCGAATGACTGCTGGTGTGATTTGTGTCGTAAAGGAGGAGAACAAGGTGACAGGTGACGGCTAACAGGGGACCGCGCCTAGTCGGGCAGGATAGGAGAGGCTCTCTGAGGAAGCAAAGCTTTAGCCGAGACTTGAGGATGAACATGACTTCCAGTGGCTCACAAACTCGATTACATAAAAGTAGAGCCCAGTGATAACTTGGCTAAGGATGGAATAGACTCCTGTTTCCTGTGAGTCATAGCATCCTCTGTTTGCAAGCTTAACAATGACTGGTAACAAACCTCTGATAAATTTAATTTGCAACCCAGGTGTT